AACTGGCTGCCAGCTTCGCCGGCCATCGCCACACCAAGTACCGCCTGCAGTCGGCCATCGCCAGCGATGACGCACGAGTGTGGAGCGCCAGCGAATGCGGTGCCGTGTATGTCTGGCCAGTGGGGTTCCCCTTTGATGCGGACGTCCCGGAGTCCGCGTCCGCCAGCGGCCGGACCCCGATGATTTCGGCACGGCATGGGTTCCACCGGTCGCGCCGCCTGGCCACGGCCCCGGTGGTGTCGGTGGCCGCACATCCGTCTATCGCCTGCCCGGCGGGCGGACCTGCCGGGCCTCCCCGGGGCTCGAGGTCCGCCCACAGTGCTGTCCCCCTGGCCGGGGCCGATGGCGAGACCGATGATGTCCTGCGACCGGACGGATATGTCGGCGGATCGGCCAGCACCGGCGCGGACTCCGCGACACCGATCTTTTCCGGGCCGCGGGTCGCCGCATCCGGCACCTCGGCCGGGGATCTGTGCTTCTGGCTCAGCACCCAGGTGTGAACCTCGAGCTTGGCGAAATGCCTCGCGCGGTCCCCGCCACGGTCGGCCCTTTCTTCGCTCCCCGGGCTAATATACACATAGACAAGAGCATGGCACAGTGAAAAGGAAAGCGGGCCTGAAAGAGGAAAACGGGGCCACACCGGACCCCGAGTGGGGTGCCAACGCATCACACGATCGCCAGCCATTCATCGGTGGCCTGTGTGCGTGTGTTCGAGCCAGGGGGGAGAAGGGCAAACCAGACTGCCCCCCCCTCCATTGCCCCTGCGCTCCGTCCCCCCCCCCCCCCCCCCCTGGCGCTCTCCCCCCGACGCGGGCCTTCTCCTCTCCCGCGCTCGATCCACTAACCCCGGCCCCGAGATAGCTCGCATACACACACCCACACCCACACACATCCACACGTGCCGGAACACACGGGCCTCCCTTCATTCGTCCAACATGGCCGACCATTCGGATAAGGAACTTTCCTCGGTGAACGAGCGTCTGCGCGAGTTGACTGGCCTCAGCGTCGATGAGATGGTGTCCGACTCTCTTGGAGCTCTGCTCGGTCGGGATGCCGACCTCAATGACCCGGATGCCGTTCCGAATGCCCTGGTCAGCGCCGGGGCTGGCTCCCTGCTGACCCAGTTCCTCTCCTCGATCGAGGGCGACGGCTCGCAACTGCCCGAGGGCGACGAGGAGGATGCCTCGCTCGGGGCCCTGAACGAGACCCTGGATCTGGCGCTGCTCCTGGCCGATCAGCTGGAGAAGAAGGCCGACCTCTTTCAAGAGCGACTGCTCGCGGTCCTGGCCCAGATCCAGACGGTCGATGGCGACGACGACGACGACGTCGCCGCCGCCGAGCAGCAGGATGCCCAGCAGCTGGAGGAGATCGAGGACGAGCAGCCCCCGCAGCAGGAGTAGCTAGACTGTTCCCCCTTCTCGCCCCCCCCCCCTGACAGGGACACTCCCGCACCTACATACATATTTACCTTTGTACACAAATATATCACTGCCTCTCTGGTGGCCATCTGCGGGGAGAGATCCCGCCATTCCCCTGGTCTTGTCAAACTGTCCGGCGCTCTCTGGATTTACGGCGGGCAAGGCTCCCCCCTGCCCGAAGGACGATGGCACTGGGCGGGGGCGTGGCTATTCCCCCTCCGAGGGGATGGGGAAAAGAAGGTCAATTGTGTGAGGGGGGGGGGTCAAAAACCGAGCAACTGCCAGCGCGCGCCCAGCTCCGACTGAAGCTCGCTGGACCGGTTCCGGCCAAAGGGAGAGAGAGAGAGAGACGGCCCCCGCCCCCCGGGGCGGCCGGGCGGACACCATACGTCAGGCCCGCCATCCTCATCCTTTGTTTGGAGTGCCCGCTCGCGATCCCAACATGGATGGTTCTCTCGGCCTTCCGGGCCTGGGGAGCCCAATAGCCGAGCCTGAGTTGACACTTTCCAGACACCGGTTCCTCCTCCGACCGATGATCGGCGAGAAGCATACCCCCTCCCCTTCGCACGCAGACAGACACCCACACGCACAGCCTGCGCCCTGCGCCCCACACCCTTCCCTGTCCTTCTTGGCCCCTCGGCGCTCCTCCCTCATCCCTCCTCCCCGCCTGCCCGTTCTTTGCAAGTACACACACATACATACACATACACGCACACGCAAACATACGCGCAATCGCGCATACGCGGATACAAACATCGACTTGGCCCCCCCCTGCTGAAGCCATCGGCCCACGCTCCCCACCAGCGGGGATCGATGTGCGATGTCGGCAAATCGACCACCCCCACCGCCGGCCGACCGCCGCGCTAGCCCACGAGCCCCGGCTGCCAATGTCGGCTCGGCTACCCAGCCGCCGGCCTCCCGGCCCGGAGCCCGGCCAGCCGCTGCCCCGGCCAATGTCGCCATTGCTGCTGGCAGCCCAGCTGATGCTGCGGCCGGCCCAGCCAACAACACTCCAGCCGATCCCGAGGCCGGCAGCCTCCCCCTGCAGCTGCTGAACACCGTCGGGCTCCTGTCCTTGGCCAACCTGCCGGACAATTCCCCGGGGACCCTTTTTTGCGGGGACTTCGCCGCCAACACCCGGGCCGTCATCCAAATCCTTAGCATCTACAGCTTCACCCTCGGCGGGCCGATCGCCCTGTGGCTCTTCATCCTGCGGATTATTTTCACAACGGTGCGCTCGACCCCGGCGACCGGGCTTCTCCCGGGGCTTCTCCCCTCCCTCGGCTTGACCTGACCTGCTCCCCCCCCCCTCCCTCGTCCCCCCATGCCCCTCCTTCTATCTGCTCCCTTCCCACCCCCCCACTTTCCCTGGTCCGATAGATTATCAGCTTCTCCCATTCGACCGTCCTGCTGCAAGCGCGGGACGGCGTGCCCCCAATCTACTCCCTCCTGCTGGGGATCATCTTCCTGCTGTATGCCTCCTCGCGAGCGACCCTGCTCCTGGTCTCGCAAGCGGCTCGGAGCCCGTGGGATGTCAGTGGCACGCGCATCTGGTTTCTTTCCTTCCTGGCGCGTGCGTTCCCCCCCCCCCCCCCCCCCCCCCCCCCCCCCCCCCCCCCCCCCCCCCCCCCCCCCCCCTCGCCTCCCGTCCCCCGTCCCCCCTGCTACTCGCCGCCGCACGCGCATGCACGCGCGCACGCGCGCGCGCGCACCTGACCCCCTGGTGATCCCCACTGCTGACTGCCTCGCTCCCAGCCCCCCAATACAACCCCAGCGCATCGCTCCTGCTGGCGGTGGACTTCTGCTTTTTCTTTCTCTCATGGCTGGAGCTGCGCCTGCCCTTCCAAGCCATCCGCAAGGAGTACCCCCAGGCGGGGTTCCCGTTTGGCCCGGACGCTGGTCGCCCTGGCGCATCCTCTCAGCCGGATGGCCGTGGCTCGCCTGCCGCCCAGGCCCCCAGTGCATCGGCCTCCACCCCATCGGAGCCGGTCGGCCATGTCTCCATCCAAATTGAGGCCAGCCCTTCCGGGGACGCGCCCTCCAATGAGGATGATCCCAACAACGGGGCCATGTTCGACCCAGATGGGGCAATCGCCTTCGTCCAGTATTAATCCACACACATGCGACCCAGGGCGGCCGAGAGGGAAAGAAAGAACAGAGGCGCATGCGCGGGCTCGGGCCGGCCCTCGGCGGTACCCAGCCCCCAGTACAATGCCCACCCTCTCTCTCTCTCTCCCCCCCCCCCCCCCGTCCCCCCCGCCCGGGCCCCCCATGCAACGCCTCCACGCCGCACCCAAGCACCAG